CTTGTTATACTGTTTCTTCGAACTCTTACTAGAAAGTTCAATATAGGAAAAAGATAAAAGAGGAGTTGTTTTAACTCAAATAATTGAAAGCCACTGGTGAACAAAAAAAAAGATTTTCTATTGGAGAAGAAGGAATTAGGAGGGAGTTCTAGACTTAGCTCTGACAATAATTGCCTGTGCAATGTTGGGGAACTCCATCATCCTCCAGGCTTCAGTGTTAACATCTATAAAATAAAAGGATTGTGCAAGGTACTTTCTAAAGTCCATTAAACCACTAAAAATGCTTTGATTATAATAGAAATAAATCTTAAAATTTTTAAAAATCATAACTATTTCCCACAACTTAACTTTTAAGGGTTGTTATGGTTTGAATTGTGATCCCCAGTAAGATATGTGATGTCCTAACCCACCAATAACTCAGAATGTGACCTCATTTGGAATCAGGGTTGTTACAGATGGAATAGGTCATCCTAGAGTAGGGAAGGCCGCCTTTATATCAAATATACCTGGTGTCCTTATAAGGAGAGGAGAAGGCCAAGGGACAACAGAGGCAGGGATTGGAGTGATGCATCTGCCAAAGATTTTGGAACACCGAAGATAACCAGTAAGGACCGTAAGCTAGGGAGAAACACAGGAAAGATTCTCCCTTGGAGAGCCCAGGAGGAACCCACTCTGCTGACAGCTTGATTTTTAGATTTCTGGCCTCCAGAACTGGGAGAGGATAAATTTCTGTTGTTTTTAAACCACCCACCTGTGGTACTTTGTTATAGCAGCCCTAGGAAATGAATAAAAATATTAAGAAACTAATATAATACTTCGTATGCATTAGTAACTAATTTCATTTTTTAGTTCTACATATTAGAGATATAGCTGGTTAAACATGTACAACATGTTTAAGCTGGTTAAGCATGTATAACAAGGCATGATCTACTCTCAATTATTTTTCTTTATATCACATTTGATTTTAATTCTTTGTAAATGCATTGTGTTACTAATCCAAATTCTAGAAGCCTGAAAATGTCTTCAAAAAAGATGTTAATTTGTTGGTGATGAGCATTTTTAAGGAAATACAACACAGCTGCTGAAATTGTCTCATTTTCTCCTGCCTCTCATTTTTGGAGGCAGTAAATGAAGTGGTTAAGCCTTGAGTGACAGATTCTGCTCCTGATTCTGCTGCTTCCTAGTTACTGTAGGTGACTCTCTGCCTCGGTTCTCCAACTGTAATGAGGGAATAGTAAGAGCATTGATCTCATCGGATTGTTAGGTTGATTTAAAGAATGAAGACATGTCAAAGTCTCAGAGAGTGGTTGGCACATAGTAAGCTATTAATATATATTAACTGCTAGTCTCTTCCTTATTGGTGCTTCTAACCTACTTCCAGATTGATTGCATAAAGCAACTCTTACATGCTACTCACCAGCTAGCAAACATTACATGGTCCTCCACTGCACAAATGCTGGCTTTGTCTAACTTGATGCACTTTTTATCCCTTACTTGCTATCTACTGAAGTCCCACCCTCCTTTAAAATTCAGCTCATATTTTGTTCTACTGAAAAGTCTTCCCAGATCACCTCATCAGACTTACTCATTCTGTCTGTCATATTTCCATAGCACCAGTGTGAAGCTCTTATACACAGCCTGCTAGGAGTTATTTGTGCATGCTATGTCCCATTTGATAGGTTCTGACCTCCAGGAGGGTAGGGCCTGTATCTTTCAAGTTTGTATCCCTCACAGTACCTACCAGAGATTTTATACTTAGTAGATACTCAATAAATGGTTGTTAAACTTGGTTGAACCCACATTTTTTTTCTTTTTGGCAGATGCCCTAAGAAAATCATAAAGTAAATGAATTACTTTTCTTCTTTTCATTGCAATATATATGCCCTGGGCTAGTGGGTATTTGCAAGCCTGGTTTAGAACTTAGGGAAGTCATCAATCTAAGAAAGGAAAGGAAATGCATTTTAAATCACAAGAGCAATATAACCTCATATAAGGCCTTCTAGCAAAGCAATTATCGATGGCTCAATAACCCAGGTGCTGGTGTTATTATGAACAAAAATCTGAGGTTGAGAGACAATGAGTGATCTCAACTTTTATATTCCATAGGTATGCAATTCAATGAAACATGTACAGATGGGAAGTTTAGATCTGAGAATCATATGTGGGTATCATAATGCAAATAATTGGCTTTCTTTCTGAAGAACATCTGTTGAAACATCTGAAAGCACTTGTTTATACTGTTGCCAAAATGTTGAAAAATGTAATAATTCTCCAATGAGGTTAGAAATATCCGGGGGAAGAAAAATACATTTTATGTAGTTCTGCTTTTATTAAATCCTGTTGTTGTTTCTCTAATATGGCACATAGGAGATGCTCAATAATATTTGTTGAATGGATAGCAAAGACTCATTAAACAGTTGTTGAATGAATCATTTCCTTTTTTTTTTTAGACTTATAAGATACACTTCCAGAAAGTAGAATGCCCTAGTTTTACCATGTCATATACCAATTTTATTTGGCATAAATTTAAGTAATGCTACTCTGGCTCTGAGCATTTTGAATGTAATCAGCATGTACATCTACAAGAAAAATATCTTAACATTATGGAAACTGTTAAGAATAAAGCTAGTTATATGACAGCAATATCTTAATATCTTAATATGTTGCTTCTACTCATTATTATGAAACACTTTTAAAATTTGAATTGTGACCTTGCATAACCATGTTTGCTTCAATAAATAAAAATTTAAAAACCTACTAATACCTATCATTGCAGTACCTCTAAGGAAACTCAAACTTGGGATTTAAGAGCACCAAAATACTCTGGGATGTGAAGAAGACAGCAGAAGATGAAGAAGCCACTTTCCCTTTTCCAAAATTTCCAGCAGTGTTCTCTTCTATACTCCTGTGTGAGTGAGGCAACTGGGCTCCCTGAAGGCTGCCTAAATTTCACTCTGCCAAGTTTCAATACAGAAAGAACATGTTAAATAATAAATGTGAGCTTGAATGTAACTAATAAAATTGGGATGTTAAAGAGCAGCATGCTTTTGAAAATCAGCCTCCTTGTGAGGATACTCCCTGTGCAAGTCCACAGAAAGTAATTTTGAAGGGAGTGATACTAATTAGTAATATAATTTATCTTCTGGAAGCCCTTTCCTTTGATGGCTGCTGTGGCACAGTTTATAAGCCCCCAAACAAGTGCTCAAAGAAAATGGTTCAAACCACAATTTCAGCTTTGTTTTTCATCCTTGAACAGATAAAAGAGTCAAATTTATCTCAACATATCTAAATTTTACACATGCATCCATATGATGGAGGATTATGAAGTTGTAAAAATGTATTCATGAAGAGTTTTCAATGAAATGGTAAAATGCTTATGATAGAATAAGAGGGGAAAGAGCAGAATCCAAAATTGAATTCATAGCCTCTGATCTCAGATTTCTTGATTTCAGGTCTTGCTCTGCCACATCCTAAATATGCAAACTTGGCAAGATACTGAACTTCTGTGCCTCAGTTTCCTCAACTATGTTTTGAAGGTTCTAGTAAAAATCATCTCAAAAGGACATATTGTGTTCAGTATAGTACCTGGAAAATACTCAATAAATAATAACTATTATTATTACTTATTCACAGTATATTTGTAAAGAAAAATTGCAAGGTGAAGAGGATTACCTGGAGGGCAATAACCAAAATGGTATTAATATTTGCTGCTGATTGATATATTTATGGACAATTCTTTTCTACTTCATTACACTTTCAGTATATATATTCCTTTATAACAAGGTTTAAAAATTAAGTCCCATGGTTTGATGGAAATTTGGAAAAGGTTAACATTTATAACCGATTATACTACAGCATTAATGAAATATTAAGTTTATTATACAGATGATGTGACAGAATATACATTTACCTTTTTTACTTAATACTAAAAAACATTTTTAAAGTGTAGCCAATGTCAATTTAACATTCAGATATAAAGTCAAATGTTTACTATAATCTTAACATTTTGACCGACTAAAACTAAAAATATTTAATTTTTAAATTAAAAAAATCCCACACCAAAGTCCCAAAGGTGCCTTTCATGTTTAAGCTTTAATTAGCAACCACTTTGGTCTCTGACACATATTACGCAGATATTGAAGTGTTAATATTACTGCAGCTTGATTACAAAAGGCAATGATTAATTTTAAAGCAGACAAAAAAGATATGCGCTGATTACAAAGGAATGATTAAGGCGAATGTCAGACATTGCACATTTATAGCAGTCTTTCCCATAGTCAAAGCATAAGACTTTGCAAAAGTTTATATTTAGAATCACGGACACTTTGTACTTTATAATTCTGGGTTTGCGCCTTGGCTGTAGATCACCTCAATTCCAAGCACGACCTAACACCCTTGGGCCACGTGGCCAGAGCAAACACTACGGAAACAAAGCAAGACACGTGAACGCAGAATGGACCCAAAGAGACGCCGTAGTTTCAGTTCCCATTGGGTCAGGCTGACCCGAGGCGCGGGCCGCCGCCTTCCAGAAGGTCTCCAGCCCGCGGCATTGGTACGAGTGCAGCTCTTGCTAAAAGAGAACACTTTGAGGACCTTCTCCCTAAAAAAAGAGCGGACTTAGAGGAACAGGCCGACCACAGAAAGGGCTGCTGCCCAGACCGCTCCGAAGCCGGGGCCTCAGGGCCTCCATTTTTATTTGCCTCCAGAAAGAGAAAGAAAACCCCCACGGGGGCCGCGCGCGGCCTTGGCTGAGGGGAGCTGCCTTCAGCCAGGGGAAGGCAGTTTGAGACAGGTCCCAGGAGGAACATGGGCACTGGGGAGGGAAAAAAGCGGGTTTGTCTGTCATAATAGAGGCTAGAGTCCAGCAGCGCGGTCCCAGGTGCCCGCGCCTCGGGGCCCTCCTCCTCCCGCGTGGGGCCCGGGCAGGGGCCTGGGGGCTGGCGCCGACCTGGGGATAGTCCTGGAGTAATCTTTCTTCTTCATTGTACTTTCCAGGATCCTCAGACTCGGTGATAAAATATTTAAGGGCGAAAAAGATGAGTCTGGAGTCCTTGTTTCAGCACATCATCTTCTCCGAGCGCCGGGCGGAGGAGAGTCGCCGTCTGATGCGAGAAGGTTGGGCTTTTGCTTGGGGTCTCTTGTCTCTCGAGTTGGGGGCTTGGAGCAGAAACAAATGCCCGAGGCAGGGGGCAGAGCAGTGAGGGGAGTCGAGGGAAGGACAGCTGAAAGATGTCTTACCCCAGGCCCCAGAAGTCGGGACTCTGGAAAGATGCATGTGTTTAAGCATTTAATTTGTATTACAGTAAGGTCGGAAATAAACGGATGTCGTGAAAAAATTAAGAAAGCAACAGAGAAGCTGAATGAAGAGAAAATCAAGTTGGAATCTAAGGTATTGACGTACTGAACATGCTCATTATCACCCGAACAAGTCTGTTTTCAGTTGACTTTTTGAGGATATTTTACTGTTTAAGTAGATGTCCTTCAGTTATGAAGCAGTCTGCGTAATTCCATGATGCCGGGTAATATTTAAAATTCTGAATCCGGTGACATCTTCCATCCTAACATGAATTTGTCCTAAAGAACCCAGTTTGAATAATGAAGAATTCTTTGTCCGTGTTGTGGGGGTGGTTACCGTTTTAAAAGAGCACAATGTGATTGGAAAAAGAATTGTTCAGTAAGTAGTTGATGCCAGATACAAATTTTGAATAGTAAATAATTTAAGCGTACTATGTTGATGTTACAATTGAATGTAACTTTCAGATGAGTCTCGGCCTTTTTCAGTTCTCTGCCTCATTTTGGACATGTCTTTAATCCAAAAGGATAATTTTTCCACTAGCATTTCACTCTTTTCTGCAACACTTGTAAAGTTTTGTTATTTTAAATAGAAGCAAGGGAATCTGATGGCTCCTTGAAGGAGGATTTTGAAGTGTGGGTAGAATTTCGGAGAGGCAAAGAGAAGTGGTAGGGGAAAAGCACTTGGGGCAGGGGGAGAATGTGAACAAAAGGGACACATGGCCAAGAAATATAGGGAGAGAAATCTCCCAAAGCAGAGGGCTGATATCTGGGAATAGGAGGAAACTGTTGCAGGTTTTTGATCAGGGAATGGTGTGGTAAAAGCAGTTTTAGAAAGATCTCTCTGAGCTCTGGGAGAATGGGAGCTAAGAACATCATCCAAATATGTCACAGTGAAGGCCTCTCTATGGGTGGGGGAGTGGACAGTTATACAAAAATATTTATTCAGCTCTAAAGATAAACTGTGTAAGCAGTGTGCAATGGGAAATCTGTTTGAGGAAGTCTGTTTGCTAAAATAAGTCAAGTAGAGTTACCACTGTGAGAAATTCCTAGTTCTCTTTTTGGATAGAATAATCACAGATTCTTTCTCCACCTGGCAGGCTTCTTGTGTTCTTCCTTCCAAGTCTTATTCAGAGGTCACCTGTGAGCCCTCCCTTGTACATCTTGAAAAACTTTTTATTGTAGCCTTCAGGGTACCATCTTACAATTAAACAGAAATGTATACTTGTGTTTGTATCCCTTACTCTTTTGTGAGCAGTGCATTTGGAATTTTTTTCTTAACCATCTTTTATTCCCACAGTCTGTATTCAGTACCCAGCACAGAGTATACATTAGTGTTTTGAATGAGTTAATGAGCACTAATAGTGTGATAATAGGGAGAGTGCTGTCTTTTAAATAGAATTTGGAAATGTTACTCAGTGAGACCCTCGGTCCTTTTTTATCTGTAAGTAGCAGATAAACTAGCTGCTTGCAGCAGTGCTGAAGCTGATGGCATGGGCAAAGTATTAAGAATGTCATGATATAGCTTACATTTTTTTTTAAAGAAGAATTAAGATATTTTGAGGATTGGTAACTAGAAGCTAATAGAAGTAATAGGCAAAACATTCAATTAGGTAATGCATAACTAACACTTATTAAGCACTTTCTGTATGCTGTGCACGGTTCTGAATGCTTCCCTTGTATTAACCCCGTTAGTCCTGCCAGGAATCCTGTGATGAGACACCATCATGAATCTTTTTAGGGGAGGAAAATGAGAAGTTAAATGGTAAATAATTTAAAAACAAACTACAATAATGAAGGTAACAGTTGAGTAATGACAGCATAGTTTATTAAAACAGATTTTTTTGCACTCACCTTAAATGTTTTCTTCATGAAATTCACATGTAATAGTGTATCTGAAGTTTTTGCATCTAGTTTAGGGCAATATTTTTAAAAGGTCACTTATGTAAGTTTTTGTACAAATATACTTTTCCTGGATTGGTGAAGGTATTGACTTGACAGATAACAAATGTTAAAAAAAAAAAGGTTAACTCTTGTAATAGCTTCTTTAGAAAAAATACGTTTAATCTTTGTAATATTTTCTTGATTAGCAGCCTATTTTTTTGCTGAAAATGGAAACGTAATTTGTTAGATACAAATAAATACATTAAAAAGTTAACTCATATATTTATACTTGAGAGAAGACAGAGCAAATCCCCAGCATTGTTTAGAAACATTTGCTGAAATTACTAATTAATATGGGCTCATAAATACACATTGGTTTTTAATCAGCTCGTATGTGTGGGTAATAATACAACTGTCTTTTTACCAATAAAATTAACAGATGAGGTTGACAGTTCATATAGTACTAATTTGTAATTGAAATAATTTGATGTATAATATAGTCAGCATGGGGGGGTGTATGTATATGTGTATAAAGATTTTAAAAGTGGAGACACAATTACAATGTAAATGACTAATGAGAAGAACTGAAGAAGTAATCATAAATTGATTTCTTGTTTCTTTTATTCTCAGAGTTAATTATATGTCTGCCAATAACAATGAAAATATATTTCCTTGAAGATTTGACTTGGTATTTATTGACCAATTTATCAAGTAGAAGCAGCATGAGAGAAACTAGGACATAATTTGAATAGGCTAGTGCTTGAGCTATTTGCACAGCAATACATTCAGAAAATATTTTGGGCATTTATTTTGGAAATTGCTTGTGGTCAAAAAATATATTGAGGAAGTACAGTATTCATTTTTTTCTGTTCTGTAAAACCCAGGTAGCATGTAATTAGAACTTGAATGATAGCATTTGCCTTTCAGAGCTCAATGAGTCCTTTAAAATATATGATTGCTAAAGTCTCAGATTATATAGTATGAGTACTTTGTGAATTGGAGAGCTACAGTATGCCTGGTTAGGTTTGGTAATGTGAAAACAGGAAGACAAGAACATGCCCTGGATTTGCATTAATGCTTACCAGTATACCTAAACTTCTGATCCTCAAGGAAAGGTTTTATAGTATCGATGACAGAAAAAATCAAAATTAAAGACTCGCAGAACATTTATTGTTTCTTGTAAGCATCTAAAAGAGTTTTTTCCTTTCAAAAACTAGTGTATAGTTAAAATGGGGGCATTTAATCTTTATAAACTTGTTGCATAAAACCATACTCCCTCAAGAGGAAGTAAATGGAGGAAAATCTTAGGCTGTTTTCTTTTTCTTTTCTCCTAATTTTAACTTAACTGCATAAACATAACACCAATGAAGTAATATTCCATGAATTTTTAAAGGAAAGTGATGAAATAAACAAGTAAGGGAGGAGGGTATAGCTGAAGTGGTAGAGGGCATGCTTAGCATATACAAGGTTCTGGATTCAATCCCCAGTACCTCCTCTAAAAAAACAAATCAAAACAGCAACAACAAATAACTAAGTAAACTTAATTACCTTGCCCCTAAAAAATTTTTTTTAAAAAGTTAATAAGTGTATGAAAAATAAATAAACAAGTAACTTAAGGTGGCTTTATTTACTTCTTTACTTCAAAATATACACATTCCTTTTTTTTTAATTGATAAAAGTTAGGAACCCTCCCAGAACAGCAGGTAAAGTCAAATCCATTAGTACTCTATTACCTAATTTGAGGAAGAACAAAAATCATAAATTGTTATAATTTATAATAACAGAGTTTTGTAACTGAGATTTTTTTTTCCTGTTTTTAAAACTTTAATCAAGGAAAACTTTATATCCTACTTTAATTCTGTTGTTGATTAAAAGTTGCCTAAAAACATAGGTAAGAGAAAGGCATTTTTCCTCTCTAACATTCATTTAAATAATAGTACATGTGAATTATTTAGTCTTAATTTTAGAAAATAAAGTGGAAATTCACTTTATCCAATTTAATACATACCTATAGTTCTAGTAATTGTGACCAAGACTTTTTTGAGGGTAGTTTCACTTAATTGCTTGCAGTCTCTGTGACTTTTTCATGTGAAATTTTTTTCATGTGAAATTCCTTTAAGCCAAATCACTCCTATCTTGAGTATGTACAGCTGATATTTTTAAAGTTGTAATACAGCAGTTTAGGAATATTGCCCCTTTTACATTCACCTTGGTCAGATGTACAGTTCCATAGCCAGTCAATATATATCTGAATCTGGAGTCTGTCCTTTGGAAGATTTTTCTTTCACACCCAAGATACCTCATAGTTGGGGGTTCAGTGGATGTCCTCTTCGCTCCCTGGTCCTGCTTCCAGGACGTTATTTCTCCACTTGCTTGTGATAGTTAATGCTATATCGTGGACTCTACCAACTGTTCGCCTCCTCTTCTGTCATCCTGCTAACTCACTGGATACTCTCCCTTGTTCTTTAGAATTTGGCATCTGGCTCCCAGGCTTCCGTTCTGTCTCAGCTCTTGCCATCATCTTGGGTAATGTCGTCTGTATGTGATGTTCAGTTATAACTCTGGCATATTAGTTTTTTGGTCTCCGCATTTTCAATGACCTTTTTCTTCATTCTGCTTCATCCACCTATTTCCATGATCATACTCTGGGTGAACCAATTTTTTGCTACAATGCCAGCACTCAGTCAGTTGCGGGAGAGATTGGATTCAGTATACACATATGTGGATGTTAGCCTCAGCCTCAACCGAGAACTCCACTCTGCCTGGAATTCTGCTGCATTTCTCTTTCTCACTCTCTGCAGTGACTATTTTAAACCTTCACTCTTCTCATATATTTTATCCTCTCTTCTGAACTACTTAACTCTCAGGTGATAACTTTGCCTTTTATTTCAAATAGAAAATAGAAATCATTCAAAAGAAAATTTTTTTTATTCCCACCTATAGATCTCTAAATCTACCTAAGTGAAAACTCTTCCTCTCCCCTTTTATTCCTGTTATGGAGGAGGTACTGTTTTTTCTGACAATGGACAATTCCTCCACCTATGCTTCAAGGTCTGTCATCTGCATCACCATTATTATCATCAGCATCATAATAACTAGTATTGTTTTTATACGTATTAGCAGGAAGGGACCTATTGAGAGAGGCTGAAGATAAAGACTAGAGAAGGAGGATAGAAGGTGGAAGGAGGATGGGATCCAGAGCATAAAGTAAGA